ATGCTCTGGAGACATCCCACATACAAAATAGAGGAAGACTGGCAAAGATGTGAGCTCAGGGACAATCTTCCTCAAGCAAAAATAGGAAGACTGGCAACAGACGTTAGCTCATGGCCAATCTTCCTCACTGAAAGAAATATATATATAGAGAGAGAGAGAGAGAGAGATAATGAAAAAAGGTGGGGGGAGGGGAGACTAAGATTATCCACAATCCCACCAAGCTGAGATGATCCCTATTAATATTTAGAGCAAATCCAGATGGTTTTCTATACATAAATATATACATATACATATTTTTTCTTACAAAAATGCCATCACACTATGCACATGTTTTGCAACCTGCTTTTCCCCCCTTTAGTCACATAGAATTAGTATCTTTCTGTGTCAGTAATGCCACATCCTCATCATTGGTCATCAACTCTGTGAACAATAACTCTGTAATGAGATCATTTCACCTCCAAGAGAAGGAAGCCTGGGCAGAAGCATGCCAGGAAAAAACCTCACCTGCATGTTTGACGTTCATCTGGTCAGAATTTCCTAAGGCAGTTTAATTCTATTGTTTCTCAAAGACTAACTGCCAGCAACAAAAAGGCTAACATAGTGGTCAATCATTAACCTGCCCCAACAAGAGAGACATCTCCGAAAGAAAACAAAAATCACTTTCTTGCCGGTTCAAAATATTCTTCTAGACTTGTTTTCTTCAGTTTGCTTTCTCTCCTCTTTCGCACACTCATTCTCTTCCCCTTATCTAGGCTACATGCATGTCTCCCTTCAGGTAATTTTAAATTATGCCCCTTATTTATTTCTTAACAAAAATAATGACATGATTTGCTCTCTTAGAGATCCGACCTTGGGTTTGTTCTAGCTGCAACACCAGTATAGACCATTCCATCAATTATGAATGTATTCATGTGTGTAGAGGCAATAGGAGGCCAGTGGTAATGTTACCTCATTCTGGAGACTTACTCTTATAAATAAATAATGAGATGTTTCTGTGAAATGCCCTTAGCAAAGGTAGGAAAAAATATTACTTCTCAAAAGACTGAACATTTTAAAGATTAGAAACTGATACCAAAGTTTCCTTGATAGGATGTAAACCATTTATATGAAAAAAAAAAAAAAAGAAAAGAAAAAGAAAGAAATGAACTGGAAACTATAATGATAAGTTGGGTGGCCAAGGTTCTCTAGGCAAGTGTAGACTAAAATTGATTCTTGGTTTTGCATGGAAATTTATCTCTTTACTTCCTAATATCTCCTACGTTGTACATGAAAAATAAATCACTACACTTAAAAATTTTAGGTAAAGATACTTATGATACAATGCTACATTCCTACCTATTAAACATAATATTGAAAAGTTGTAGTAAGTAATTTCAATGAGAGTGATAAAACCCAGTGGTAGGTATGATAGATTTTTATTATTAAACCTCATCTTTTCTCCTGTTTTAACTAATTCATATTTAGCTTGTGTATTAAGCTAGATATTCAAGTCTAGGTACCAAATCAAATAGCTTTATGAAGTATAGTGAGTGCTAGCTTCCTGAGATGACCTGTTCTGTACTGTGTATTCTAGTCCTATTTCTAGCAAAGTAGAAAATGCTTTGTGGTTGCCACTAGAGGGCAAATAGCCTCCTGGACTTCTCTTTGACCAAAGAGCATCTTTGTCCAGGCAGCCAAGGTTTTAAGGTCTCACATAACCTAATCTTAAATCTTGCATTGCCAACTCCTCCTAGTCAACCCATAAGCTCAGCAAGCTCAGAACTTTTTAAGTCAAGATGTAAATGTGTTCTTTTACCATTTTACCAAATGGCCCCATTTGGGATGAAAGGTCTCTTCCCCGAGTATACTAACTCCCTACCTTCTTATCTTAATCCTTCCTGATCTAGATCTTAAATCCCACGGTTCTGCCAGAGATGCGACCTAACCCCCCAGCATTCAACAGCATTCTTAGACCTTAAAGTGACATAAAAGGCACTTTCCAATCTGACTGATTTCTGCTTACCTTTCCAATCTAACCTCATACCACTCCCTCATATTCCCACAATGTTGCACCAGTACAGAATTCCTGGCCATTCCCTAAACATACCACATCATTTCATACCCCCGTGTTTTCTCTCAGGCTATTACTTATATCTCAGCTGCTGGCACTGCCCACCACACATTATTGAAGATACAGCTCAGATATTGCCTATGAGAAGCCTTATAGTCTCTGCCAATCCCATTCTTACCCCCTTCCTTTTCCTAAGCAATAGACTTAGTATCACCTTCCTCTACGTTCCTCAAGTATCTTGTACACACCTCTGTTAACAATGCTAACTCTGTTATTGTGATTATATCCAGCAGAATATGAACATTCAATCTATTTTGAAATGCAAACTCAACTGTTTTGTGTTTTCTTTACTGCATTAGAAATTGTGAGGAGTTCCAGAAAAATGGTGGAATGCAAACAGCTCCCCTTCTCTCCAGGAAACAGAGACCAGGTGACTGTGGTTTTTGAAGACTAAGCTCTCTCTGCCTTTGCGTAAGGAGGTACAAGATTTCTGCTGATAAAAATTTGGATTTCACTGCTCACTAAAAGAAGTGATTAGAACTTTAGGCCTAAAGAAATATTTGGAATCTGGAGAGACTGAGGCAGACTGGAAAAGTTTTGGAGAGGCCCAAACATCACTGCCCAGAGTCAAGAAAGTGATCTGAAATACAGCTGCTGCCAGAGATGCCCCGTGAGTGGGCTGAGAGAAGAGCCTTACGAGGGACGCTAATGAAGCACTCAGGAACCGTATTGAATAAACTCTGCACAGGCCTCACCAAGGGATTATCTAGTTGAGTGGGAGTCCTGCCTCAACTAAACAAATAATCATGGGCCGTTATTCTCAGCCTATGATCAAGTCTTTTTGTCCTTTTTTTCCCTCAAGCAAAAACAAACTACTGCTCAAAACCCAAAGATCATTTAAAAAAAAAAAAAAGAAAGTCTGAGAAACTGTCCCAGTCAAGGGGAATCTTAAGGAGACACAGCAATTAAACGTAATGTGGTGGTATTCTAGATGGGCTCCTGGAACAGAAAAAGGACATTTGATGAAAACTAAAGAAATCTGAATAAATTGTAGACTTTAGCTAATAACAACATATCCGGATTGGTTCATTAATTATAATTATATATACCATAGCAAGGTAAGATATTAATAGGGGAAGCTGGATATGGAATCTCGCTGTACCGTCTTTTCAATGAATCTGTAAATCTAAAACTGATCTAAAAACTAAAGTTTATTAAAAAGAGGAAGGAGGAGGAGGAAGATGAAGAGGAGGTGAAGGAGAAGAAGAAAAACACAAATAAGCTCACCTGCAAGAATGTCTCCTCCAAAACCCTCAGGATGCGGGAAGTACGCTGGGTACCAGGACCCAGGAATGCCTCAAGTACAGGGGCCGATCACTGTTCATGCTGTTGATGTCCCCAGTGCCTGGTTTTTATAAATGGTCAATGAATAGGTGTTGAATTAAAATTTCTTTCCGATAAGGAAGTAGCAAGAGGTGGTAAAAAGAATGTGTTTCTTCTCATGATAAATAAAACTGCAAAATATATTTTGTTTAAGTTGATAAAAAATTTTGTAGAGCGATCTGCTTCAACTGAGTTTGCCCTGACATTTAGAAATAATATTGTAATAAAAACTATCATCTTAGTGCAGAAAATAATAAAACTCCATTCTTTAAGAATATTGCCATTTTTATGATGTTAACCTGAAGGAAAACCATCTTTATAATAATGAAATGTTAAAATTGAGGCAGAAAATCCATAAAGAGAGATCAGGTACAAAATGTCTAAATAGCTTTAAGTAAAGAACAAAGGTTCAATTTCTTTTTCATATAAAAGGAAGCAAACATATTAAAATTCTCCTAAGTACTAATATTTGAAGTACATAGACTGAAAATAGAAAGTGCTCATATAATGTATTTTTGATATAAAAATTGTTCTCTGCTATGTTTTTCAGCTTTGTGAAAGTCTCTTGGCAAATGATACTTAAATAGCATTTCATCCATGAGGGGTTTTTCAAAATAAAGTGGAATATAGACATTGCATTTTTAAATTTTCCATATCTCATAATATTTGTCTTTCAATATGGTAAGACACAGCAGAAATTTACACTTCAAAGAGAAACGTGTGGAAGAAAGGAGAAATGGCCAAAAAATAAAGGTTTCAGATAATGAATTCAAAAGCTTCTCGTCTGCCAGATTCTATACATTGACTGAAGCAGTTGGGGGTCGTGCTGATGAGTCAGAGCTCTGCTAAGCTGTCTTGCTTATCACGAGAGAGGCTCTCAGCCACACACATGCAAAGCTGCAACCCCTCTCCTTGGCAAGGAAGTAAAAACGCCTAATAAATTTTTAGTTTGAACAGACAACTCATACTGATACTTTCTTCTGTACATATTGTAAGAAAAGTAAAAAGGTCATTTTTGGGTACTTTCAGAATAGATTTAAGTCAATGATGTTTTAAAATGTCTTCACTTTCAGGTATATATTAAAATATATTCCAGGTAATATATTAAAATATATTAATTCCAGATGATGGTAATTAATTACATGAAATAGACTGTGTTTCTCTCTCAAAGTAAGAGGAATGAAGAAAAGGAGATAATGAAGAAATGCGTGGATGGGAAGCAACAGGTGGAAAGGACTCCAGGTGGTCTAGAGAGGAAAGAAGACTGGGTAGAGACCCTCTCTCTGCCAACAACTGCATGAGTGAACTCTCATGCCTACTCTATGGGTCTGTTGTGCTTGAGAATTTTATATGCATTTCCTAATTTTAACAACTTCAAAAAATTAATCATTATCCATATTTTAGAAATGAGGACTCTGACATTCAGAGAGTTTAGTTACCGGTCCAAGGTCACCCCCCACCCCCCCCCACCAGTGAGAAGTAGACCCAGGTGTGAAACCTAGATTTATTTGATTCCACAGACTCTGGAATCTACTATATTATCTCTCAGCATATCCCTCTCAAAACTTTTCAGGTATGGTTTTGGACTGGAGATTTTAATAGGTTAATTCATATTTGTAAGAGCTATTCAGGGGCCAAGTCATTGTTGAAGCCAATTGAACCTCATCAATTCTCTCAATTTTCTTTGTTATCTATAATCTTTGCTATCCTATGTGGTCCATAAAGAAAGATTTCCTTACTTCTGCCAAATGCTTTCTGCTGTACTACAAACCAAGGCAATCTTTAATTTATTGCACTGGTACCATTATGCTGCATCTGCCCTCAGAATGTTCAGAGCAGTGCTCAAAATCTGAGACCCTGTATTCATTTTTTGTGACTCAGATAGTGTTTTAATTCTGTACGTTTCTTTTGGTTCATTATTATTGTTTCTAGTACTCTGTAGACATTTTTCATCTAGTCTTTTAATTTCTTAAAATACCAGTGGTGGCTGTTTTAAAGTTTGTGTCTGAAAATTCCATTATCTGGATTGTCTGTGGGTCTGTTTCTCTTGTCTATTTTCCTTTTGGATTTTGGTCACATCCTGTCTCCTTGTTTGCCTGGTTATTATTGATCACCAAACATTGTATATGAAAATTGTCAAGAGACTCTGTATGATGCTATATTCCTCCAGAAGGACTGTACATATACTTTTGGCAGGCAGCTAATTTAGGGGCACTAGTAACCCCTGAAAACCTTAATCCAATCAGCAAATGGAGATCAGCTGAAGTTGGGTTTCAGTTCCTGTGAGAATTGGTCTATTTCCAGTTCACTGTTATTCCTGGGTATAGCCCTTCTGAGTCCAGACTGCCTGGCTGAGATATTTACCAAGATCCCTACTCTTTGACAAACACTGACCTCCAATTTTTGGTCCCCCACCTCCATGAGTCTGTCCAAAGCTCTCTCAGTTTTCATCCTCTCAGCCACAGCTTTCAGAATCAGCAATCACCTTTAGGAGTAAAGTGGACTTAAACAGCAGGTTCACCTCTGTGGACTTTCATCCTCTCCCAGATCTTGAACTCACAATTCTTCACTGCCTTGCTGACTCTGCAATGACTTTACGTTTTTTATTTTTTTAATATTTAATCCAGCTTCTCTAGCTGTTCTCAGTGGGAGAGTTGGTCCAAAACAAACTAGGCTGTCATTGTTGAAAGAGGATTCACCCATACAGTAGCAATTATTTTTTAAATTTATTGTCAATATAAAAATACAGTTTCCATAAAAAAAAATGAGATATTTGGCTTCTCATAAAAAATTGGAAATTACAGCAAACTTATCTCAAGTTCCTGCATGCCAGGAATCTATTGAAACAGAGTAGGGCTGTCATTTTGAGATGGTCAAGCACCATTCTAGTTTAGGAGTATTTCCAACATCCTAGTTCAACACAGCAGTCACCTTTGTTCATTTCCGCTATTTGCCTGTCCTCTCCCTATAGGCATTTGCTTTTGTGACCACTGGTTCAAGTGACTATTTATAAATTAGGCAACAGGGATCCAAATAGGCTAAATCGAGTTCTTTTCCCAGAAAATTAGCACCCAGCAGCAACAGAGATTTTGTTTACCCCCATTGCTATCTCTGAGAACTAAAGAAATTTCTGTTCACATAATATAGTTGAGGTAAATCATACCACATCATTTTTATAATATATTCTACAACAAGCTGGCATCTATAAACATTTCTCTTTTTTATTTGCTAACTTGCAAATTTTGATTATCTAATCATGACCAAGCAATTCTAATCTCTATCAACTGCTTAAAGACTTACAATTTCTTCTTTAATTGAGTCTCATTTCCTTGTTTCCTCAGTTGAGCTAATTAAATGATTGTGCATGGAATTTTGCAAAAATAATTTGAGTAATAGTGAATTTCAGTTTGGGGGGGAAAGGTCAACTTTCTCATGCATTCTATCCACAATTGGCAAATATTCATTCTGTCTCTGACTCATAAAATATTTGAGTGACATCCTGTGCCAGGCACTGTCCTAAATGCTGAAGATGCCAAGATGAATAAAACACAGGCCCTGACCTAGAGAAGCTCACTGTAGTAGGGAGACAGACACGAAAAACAGTCCTTACAACACTGTGATTAATATTATAATTGAGTTATGAACAAAGAGCTATGGGAGTGAGTGACAAGGTATGTCTCAGGAGTAGGAAAAAACAAAAGGCTTCTCAGAGGAAGTAGCATTTCAACCCACTCTTCAAAGGATGATTGAGATCTTGGTCAAGTAAAGAAGAGGAAGGAGGTCTTTGTGGTTTCTTGCATAAGCCATACTACCCCAAAAGCGTCCTCTGGTTTGCCTGCATCAAATTCTTTCCTCCAGCAATCAGTTCTCTACACTGATCTTTCCAAAGCAAAATCTGATCATTGGTTTCCCATCCTTTTCATGATTACTTCAGCTCCCTCAGCTGGCATCTAAAGCCTTTGTCATTCTGAGCTCCCAGCCACACATCCAGTTCCAGTTCCTGCTTTGTCTCCCAGGCAGGGGATACGCTACAGCTACACTGGGACACTCAAAGGGCCATGCTACCTCATGCTTCCTTATCTTTTACATGAGTTTCCTCTGCCTCATGCATGTCTTCTATCCTTTCTGCAGCACTCTAGGAATGCCTCTGTTAGCACCAATCTATTGCACAGTAACGGCTGATAATTTTGTTTGGGTTCATTCAAAAACTGTTGTGTCCATATAGCTCAGCACAGTGCATAGCACATAAGCAGTTCTCAGTACCTGTTTTGGGTGAATGAATGAATTAAAGAAATGTTGTGATAATTATGGTGGCCATTATCCAAGGGTTAAGGGATAAACTGGAAGGAGATGAGATACATAAGGTAGTACCTATGTATGAAGATAACTATATCTCAGAATATTCTACACACACTTTCATTCAGATGCTGCTGCTAAGTCTCTCAGAGATATTGTCCTTCACTTCAGTCCAGAAGTGTATCATAGTTAACAGGTTTTTCAATATTTTGACTTAAAAGAAATTTTGTTAGATCCTGATAATAAAAGAAAACACCAGATGACCTGGCAGTAGCATCAGAAATTTATATATACATTTCTTGAAGTAAAACATAATGATGGCTACATCTTTAAAGCCAAGGTTTTTCCAAGGCTTCCTTCTGTGCTATTTCTATTTGCTCTTCCTGATTCCAAATCTCAGTTGTTATCCGTTAGGTCTGAGGTCTTTATAGCTCTAACTCTGGTCCTAATTTTCCTCAAAAGTTGGAGTTCCAGATGCAATTTGGTATCCTGGATTGAATCCTGGAAAAGAAAGAGAACATTAATGTAAAAACTGGTGAAATCCAAATTAAGTCTGTAGCTTAGTTAATAGTAATATAATAAGGTTAAGTTCTTAATCATCACAAGTGTACCATAGTTATATAAGATGTTAACATCTGGGGACACTAAGTAAAGGATATACAGGAACTCTCTGTTCTGTCTTTGCAACTTTTCTGTAAACCAAAATTATTCCCCCCAAAAGTTTACTTTTAAAAACGTTGGAGTGTTATAAGAATTATGTTCAGGAGCTGGCCCAGTGGCTAGTGATTAGGTTCACGCACTCTGCTTCAGTGGCCCAGGATTCACAGGTTCAGATCCCAGGCACGGACGTACACACCACTCATCAAACTATGCTGTGAAGGCGTCCCACATAGAAAAGAGAGGAAGATTGGCACAGACGTTAGCTCAGGGACAATCTTCCTCAGCAAAAATAGGAGGATTGGCAACAGATATTAGCTCAGAGCTAATCTTCCTCACCAAAAAGAGAAAAAGGAAAGAAAAAGAATTAGGTTCAGTGCATATATATCACCTACAGAGAAATCAAATTCACACAAAGATTGCCCCATGATGTTTGACCACAACCTGATGTGTCTCAGGCACCCCAAAAGGCAGGGTATTGATGGCTTCCTTTATAAACATCCTCCTGGGCGGCTCTTCGCCTTCCAGAATGACTGGATTGTATATTTGTATTTGTATTCTAGGGAAAATTCACTTGTATCTTGTTTTTTATGCTTCTTTTCTTCACCCAGAACTGATATTCCCAAGATCCCTCATTAAACCAGAAAAGTCACTGGGAAGTAATCCGTATTTCTTTAATAATAACGCTAAAAAAAGAACAGCAAAAAATATAAACATTTACAGTACGAATACCTTTTTTAAAAAAAATTCTTTGTACCAGTAACTCACATTTGTTGTGGAAAATTTAGGAAGACAAAAAATTATTTTATTTTTATTGTTATAAATTAATATTTAATTGTGATAAATAAGAGGAAAGGAAACATTCAGCATACTGTCATTACATGGCATTTAAGGTGACTGTGGAAACAGAATGAAATGCTAAATTACGTTATGATAAGCAGATGTTTCTAGGTAATGTCAGGTAAACAATACACAACTTAACATAGCAGAAAGTATGTTTTACCGGGTTACTCCCAGGTATCGGTTGGCACCTATACAATCTGCATAATTGAGGACTAAAATTTTTAAATATCCATTGACTTAAAATATCAGATAATAGGAAAACTAGCTGCATAGTCTACACAGTAGAGAATCTGTTTAATAATAAAGTTGTTAGGTGACTCACTCTTCTCCAAGACCACAAGCTAGTGAAGGGTCACTTCTCCCCAAAGCCACCAAGAAGAGCATTCTCTCTGAGAACATGAAAAAAATATCACGTGCATAAATGTGATTCTGAAATCCACAGGCAAAAGGATCAAACAGAGGAGGGGCTAGTGGATATGACTGAAGTGGGAAGAATTTTGTTTGATGCCTGCAAAGCAAATGGGCAAGTGAGGAGATCAGACTCATAACCAGAGTTTTCAGGGAGCTGTGAGAGCTGCTTCCTGCCCACAGTCGAGGAAATACAAAAATACAGGTGACCTCAGAGACCACCTGGCAAACACCTAATCTAAGGTAGTCAGAGCTGAAAGGAGGGTAGCAGATAAGAGGCATTCTAAATGACAGATCTCAAGGTGTTCTGGCTGAAGAGAGTGCTCAGAATGCTGTGGGTATGCCACAAAGCACTGTGTGAATGTGAGCCTAGAATGTGATCCTTAATTGATAGACCTTCTGTTAGAGCTCATTCATTCATGTGTCCTATTTACAAGGAAATCCAGGAATACAGTCAAATGGTGAATAAGAAAAAGAGGGAAAATTTTTTTTTCACTCAGAGATTTTTGAAAAAATTCTTCTATAATGCATTCTTCCAGTTGGAAAGTAGGTCATTTGGACAGCTACATCAACTCCATCAGGTCACTGAAAATACAGAAAAACAAAATTCCTTCTTGGAAGAAATTACTATACAGCGCCCTAGCAGACTGAATTTAGAAGCAGGTGATACTATTTTTTTACCCAAATTGATATGTTCATCTTCTGTGTATATTTTGAATATGTCAAATTAAAAAGTCTCCCTTCTTTCTTATTCTTGCTGTTCCAGTGGACAAAGGATAAACTGGAAGATGAAGTAGATATCTCCCGTTTCTAATAGGTTTTCCCTTGTATGTTAGGTTTCTTCCAGCCCGTACCATATGAATAGCATTTGACTTGACTAAGGCACTCTCTGCTCCTTGAAACAATTTCTTCCCTTGACTTCCTTTCTCACTGGTCACTCTTTTCACACTCTTTGGCTGATTCTTCCTCATCTCCCCAACCTCTGAACACTAAAGTGATTCTTGATCCTTGGACCCCTTCTCTATCTACACTCTCTCCCTAGAAGACATTATCCAGTCGTGTAGTTTTACATACCATCATTGCAGAGATGATCACTCCCAAATTTATATCTCCAGCCCAAACATCTCTGCTGGACTCTAGATTTAGATGCCCGATTACCTACTCAACATTGTGATTTGATGTTCAGCAGGCATCTCAACTAAATTGTCTTCCCTCAACCATGCTCCTCACACAGGATTCTCCATCAATAAATGTCAACTCTGTCCTTTCAGTTGTTAAGCCCCAAAACTAAGGGAATTTTTTGACTCCTCTTTCCCCTACAACCAACATTCGTTCCATAGGCAAAACCCACAGGCCATAGTTTCAAAATATAACCAATTACTTCTGACCACCTCTGCTGAATCAGCCTGGTCAAAGCCTAGATTATTAATAGGCAGGCTCCTACCTATTTCTGTTCATTGTGTGTTATCGAACAGACTCAACACAGCAGCCAGAGGCTCTCCCTCTATGTGTCTCAATATTCTGTTGACCATTGTTTAAAAACTGGCTTGAGGGCATTGCTATTATTCTTGGGGAAGGTAAATCATAAAATAGCTTGAAACCTAAAATCCTTTTGAAAACAAGACTTCAAATGAACTAATTAATTAATTAGAAGCATAGACTACAGGAGCTGAGCAGACCTTATAGATCAAGCAGTTCTGGCATCTCCTTGCATTGACTGACATGGAAGCTGAAGCAGAAACAATTACTCGGGCCTCACCCAGTCAGTGGTAGGGCTAGGACTGTGGCCAGATTAGGTCACAGGTCTCATCACTTCTCTGGAGCAGGGCTCCATGGGTTTTTCAGAATTTTGCAGATTATAAAATCACACTTTCCCCCAGATCAGCTTATTTTTTTCTTTGCTGTACATATTTAATGTATGCAACTCGGTGAGTTTGGTGATAAGTGTACATCCATGAAACCATCACCACAATCGACATAAACATATTCGTCACCTCCAAAAGTTTCCTCCCACCCTTGTATTTTTTATTATTATTATTTGTGTGTGTTATAAGAACACTTAACATAAGATCTACCCTCTTAGCACATTTTTAAGTATACAATACAGTATTGTTAATTATAGGCACCACGCTGTACGGTATCTGTAGATCTCTAGAATTTATTCATCATGCAAAACTGAAACTTTGTACCCTTTGACTTTATCTTCAGATAACTTATTAATTGCAAAAGTTACATAGTTCAGATTCATAGGATATGTCATATGTAACTTCAGTTTTAAAATAAAGTACTAGAGTTAATAATATGTTTTTCATAACTTAAATTCTGTTGAATTTAGAGATCTTTTAGGGAGTGAGCTCATGTTGTTTTCGCCAAACTCTGTGAAGAGTTTTCATTGTCAGTAAAAGAGCTCCACCCTCCCTTTTGCTGGCTATGATGAACAGCAATGCCAAAGCTGCTGCAGTGGTTACACTGTATATTGGGAGTTCTCCTCCAAAGGGAAACTTGGCTGAGTAAACTCTACTCCTCCTTTCACTCCTAAGAGTCTATATTTGGAGAACCAGTTTACCCTGCTCATCTAGGTTTTTTTGTATTCATTTTTTGACAATTTCTCCCTCTAACCATCTCTAGCTTGATCCTAAACTTGAAAATATAGCATGCACATGAATGCTAGTACTGAAATGATAGGTGATTAGACTTCTGAAAGTGGGTATATATGTATACTTATAGACATAGATATTGATATAGTTATAGATTATTAATCTCTTTGCCTCTGATTGATTTCTTTTGCTCTCTTAAAAATTTTAATCTACGTTTACTCTACTGATTGCAACTGTTAAACTAATCTCACTCAGTCCTTCATTTTGAGATGATACCTCTCAGGATTGTGAGAAGTAAGTGATATATGTATATGTGAAGCCATGTCATAGTGCCTAATGCATTGTCACAGTTCAATAAATGGCAGCTACTCTGTGCTGTCACATCAGCAGCAGCAGCATCCATCTCACTTTGTTTCCTCCCCAATTCATTCCCATTCATAGAGTATCAAATCCTGAAATTTCTGCACAAATAACTTTCAGAAAATTCTGTCTTAAATTATCTAGCTTTACCTATAGGTTTGATGAAATGCAAATGTATAGTGTTTGTTTTTTAAATATATTATTATACTTATTGTTGATTAGACCAGTATTTTTCAAAATGTGGTCCTTGAATCACTGCATTTGAATCACCTGAAGCAGAATAACCAGAGGTGGTTCCCAGATATCTGTATTTTAAGCAAGTACACAGGAGGTTGTTTTGCACACCAACATTTGGGAACCAGCATTAGCCTACTTTCAATTTCATCTTGTAGTCTACCTACAATTTCATCAATGCCATCACTTTTGCCATTGATTTTTATGATGGTGAAAGACAGATTTTAGTCGTTTGTTAGGTTGTGAGATCTTACTACAAACTTACAGTAACTCATATTTAGAGTATAATTCTCTAGAACCTATTGATCAAAGTAAAATATATATTATTATTATAAAGGTGTAAGTCTCCAGAGGGAATAGAAGGACCTAGTACAAATTAGTAGATAATGAATGAATGATAATGCAATGAATTCAAGCCTCCTCAGGATTTAAGTACCTTAGGTATTTAATATTATAGGGGAATTATAGAGAATTATACAGGGGAATTATATAGGAATTATAGGGGAACTGACCATTTATTTCCCCGCTTTAACAAGAAGATTGAGTTCGACAATGCTCTGTTGTACATGAGGTGAGTTGTTGCAAATCCTTTCTAGAACTATATATAGACTCTACTTCCTAGGGGGAAAAAAGGAAATAAAAATGGGCAAGATAACCAGAATTCATCTGTGCAATAGGGCTATCGACTAATGAGACTAGTTTTCTTGAATGACTTATGAAAATCAGAATTGATAATATAGAGCTATACTTTGAATTTCAAAAACACGGCCACTACATGAATATAAAAATCTTCCAAGTTGTAGATGAGACTCTTGTGCTAGATGGTAATGTGCAAGGCATGCACAAAGCAGAAGATATGCTTTAAAATAAGTGCTGAATCTCTTGCAAGATGAAATATTCATATTATTGACATAGACTAAGTACCTTCATCACCAAGGTGCCTGTTTATCTCTTTGCTGCCTGTGCTAAAGTGGTATTAGACATTAAGAAGTGAAGACCAGTGAAGCATTTTACTAAAATTATAATTGCAAAGCTAATTGGAGATTGCAAATTAAGAGGGAATAGCTTTCACAGTGGGGTAAGAATGCCATGAAATCATAGAAATTTACATTTGGAAGGGACCTAGATAATTTCCAGTCAAACCTCCCACTCATATCATTATATCCTGCTTTAAATATGTGAATACAGGGGAAATTCTATCTGTTTATCTAGTAAATATATTATGTTCTAGCAAATGTCATTAAAATACTTCTTTGATTCATAATACCATCTCTCATATTTTTTGTCTCCTTATATTTACTTTTCTAAATGTCAGATCTGGATTCTTGCCCCCACCCCTCATATTTTCTTCTGAAAAGTTTATTCAGAGGTATTTATTTGTTCTGTTAGTGCCCAGATACTTCCCAATCACTAATCCAAATTCTTCTTCTGGCTATAAAAATAGCCTTTATTCATGAGTATTACAATCATTGGTAGAATTATAAAAATTAAATGGCCAACTGGAGAAACCATATTGTTCTAGACGTGTGATTTTTATTCATGACAAGGGAACGAGAACTCACAGGGAGACCTTCAGCCAATTTCCCTCCTCTGCCATACACCATCCCACTAGCAAGTTGATGGACTATGGAGAAACGGTCTTTGGAACTGGCTACTGGACTTGCTCCACCGTTTACTCACCCCTAAAGTCTGGAGTTGTCTGCAAATTCAGTGACAACAACTGCAGAGATAGAACTGTGGCCACTACTTCTCCCCATTTTTTGAAAACAATTCTAAGTTTGATCAAGACATAGGACAGATAACACTTTTATTTTTATGGCTACCATATCAGAAAGAAGGTAGAGGGCCCCTTATAACACCTTCCATAAAGATCTTAGAACCACCATTTTAATAAAATGACAACCATTCTTCATCAGTTCAGCAGGACAGACACGAAGATACCTCAGGAGCCCGATGGCTCAGCAAACATGCAATGACAGGATGAAGGAAGAGAGCTCTGCCATTGCTTTTTCAGGTTGTTTCAGAAATAAATAATGGACTTTTGACCACATAGATTATAAGACTGCTTTCTCATCAACAACAAGTTAAAACATTAATCATATTCCAATAGAGAAAATAAAGAATTTTTGTATTAAGGACATTTCTGTTCCAACAAAAATTTTGCTAAAATAAACAAGTGGCCTTTTTATAATAGCCATTCGTAAACTCAAATCATTGAATAGGACACTTACACCTACTTAAGTTACATGTTTGCTTGTTCAAAAAAATGAATGAACACCTGAATATCCAAAAGGAAACGATAAAAGTTGCCTTTCTGTTTAATTACTCCTTGTTTACATTTTACTAATAGGACAAGCAGTTTAACTTTTGCTTTTGGATTACAGTATGGTGGTCACTACCGATTTCCAAAGAAAACCAGTTTGACCTATGGTAGTAAAAAGATTTGGGTCACTATGGGTGAATATAATGACTAGCTGGTGTGCAGAGGGGACATAAATCTCATAGTCAAAATTGTCTGTAACTGCATTTATATTCTCGTTGTAGGAGATGATTGAGTTAGAAAATAAAGAGCCGAAAGCAAGGAATGGGAAGTTCAGCCTAGAGATGAACCCTGTGAGAGAGAGCCAACAGGGGCACTGACACGAATCGACTCATCATGTATGTTAACAGTTCCTGTTCTCGCTCATGCAGGCCACATGCTCTGCTTTCTACCTCCATGACCTCTCCTTTCCTTCCCACCACTTCCCTCACTTGAGAAATTTTTGGCAAATTCATTATTTAAAGTTTTAGTAGCGTTCTTAAAGCTTTTTGCTAAGTAGGCTAGAACCTCTCCGGGATGTCAGCTGACCTGGAGGATCCACCAGGCCAGCCATTCTCTGAATATGTGCAAAATCTGCAGGTCACTTCTGAACAGCTCTTCATTAGGATGTGCCAACCCACCTGAGCAGCTGTTTGACCACTTACTATATGAATAATTCTCTTTACTGACCTCTAAAAAGTGGTAAAAGATAAGGAAGAACTGGCCTTACTTCTAAGAGGCTTTTGACTTAGTTGAAGATCTAAAACTCATAATTCTGACATAGCTTGAAGAGAATTGCACAGTAGCATGCCAACAAATGCAAACTGCCATGACATATTAAGATGAAATAAGTGTATCAGATGCAAAAAATTAGAAACAAAAATATTTACAATAGTTTGCTAAATAAATTATGGTACATCCATGTCATAGAATACTATGCAACTGTAAAAATTACCACAAAGACAAGTAACTACTGATATGGAAATATACCCATGCCCTATGAAATGAAAATTAGATTTCTAAGAAGTGTGCATTGCACATTAAAAACTTTGTTCAAGAAATAATATCTATAGTCATGGGGAAATATGTATAATAAAATATTAACAATGGTTATTTCTACATGTGGGTTTGTACATGACCTTTATTTTCATCTTTATTTTTTTCTGTATTTTCTAATTTCTTTGCCATTTTTATATATTTTTATTATAAAATGGAAAATCAGTAAAGTTACTTTTACATAATGATAGAGAAGGAATTAATGATAGAGGGCTTTCTGGATGACGAAGCCATGTTGCACTAAGTCCTATAATGATTTTTGAAAGAGTTGATGGCTGTGGATCGCAAGAAAGGAGAGTGACAATGGTTTAGATGGGAAGACTTTTACTAGTTGAATGAAAGGAAATGAAAGTTGAGTGTTTGAACTGAAGCAGAGAAAACAATGAGGGAGACCTTTGCAGTTTGACTCCTCCAAGCTTCTACACATGCTATTCCCACCACCTGGAAAGCCTTCTTCCACCGATGAAGTCAACTTTCAAGATGCAGCTCGAGTAACTTTTCCTCCTTGAAGTTTCCTGTGACTCAGGCTTTGGTTTTTGCCCCCACTGTGCCCCATACATGTCTGTACTACTGCACAGAACCCATTGTATTGCATTAATTATGTTTTAATTTGTTTAAACCATTTCCTAGACAGTAAGTTCCACGAGGGTAAGGGACTTATTTTTCTTGAACACGATCTTGTCATATAATAGACGTACAATCCATGTTTGTGTACAGTTGACTCGAATCAACTTGAATTGAAACTATTTTGGAGAAGGATCAGTTAACAGGGAGCTTTAAAATTAAGGCAGAAGAGTTAAATTTTATATAATTCATAATATAGAGGTTTTAAGCATGTATCTCTTTAGTATCTTAGGATGCTTTTCCTATAAATTGGATAAAAAGAAAGCATTACCATTCCTCCAACCATGTGCACCAGAGATTAGAGTCGGCAGTTCTGGGAAGACTGTTGATGGACAATGCTGGGAGGTGCCAAACAGTTTCCATTTAATAATCTGCCAAAGGGCAAGATCATTTTATGTACTACAGGTTGTAGATTTCTGAAAAAGACAGAACAATGGGTTGATGACCAATGTTAGAGAATTTTCAACAAGTTACTTTGATATCACATGACTCCAACCTTATGCCCATGACAATATATGTAGCATTTTTACAATGTCACAGCAATTGTCTTATTTTTCCTGATAATGTTACTCATTTTTAGAACATAATGCAAAGAAAATGAATCATACATTAATATTGACCTAATGAACAAGACATTTTTAAAAATGGTAAACATGGTTCCATCAGACCAAGTATTATCTATGCTTTATCAAATTTTTAGATTATTCTGTCAAAGTTATATTTCAAGAAAAAATATTTCATTAAGGTTTTTAATCATTAAAGATTATAACTATCATTTAATTCAATTCAAGTGAACATAATTCTACCTCTAATCCCTCCTAAAAAGATGTTTTTGTTTAAACTGGACTATTTTCATATCAACTAATGTTGATAAAGTTCAAAGTTAACTCAGTCTTTTGTCCTTTAATTCTGCATCTTTAACTCCTTTGGTGCTTTCTTGCACATTTTGCTAATAGAAAAATGTATTCGTTTAATTATTTCACATACATGTGAGTTTTCCTGCTGTTCCTCTACTTTCCGCACAGTCATTTTCCACTGCAGGTATATAGTTTGCTGACATACTGAGCCATCCAACAACCAACGACAACTGTGTGAGATCTAAAAAAAGTTCTCAAAAATTTCTTTTCAGGGGAAAAAAAAAATGCAACTGTTTCTTGAACATTGTATCTGTTCTTAGGAACCATGACCTAGATATCAACAAAATGGAAACTTTTTTCTCTTAGCTAAGGCAGATTTACTGTGATGGATTCATATTCAGCATTCAGTTCCAAGATGTGAAGCAAATTACTGTTTATTTAGTATCTTTCCTCTAATTGGTTAAAATACATGTAACTGTACTTTTTTCTATATTTTGGGATTATTTTGTATTCACTCTATAAGAAAGGGCAATGTAACGAAAACCCCTGTATCAGTGTAAGTCTGCCAATAGTTTGTGCTATGAGTAGAACAGTTTTCCTTCACTTGTGGTACTACCTGCTCAAACAAAGAAAGCAGCAGACGATACATATCAATATTTTATTGGGATGAATTTTTAAATAATAAATAAATAACTCTTGTTTTGAATTTCTTTACTAAAGGATAATGATGAGCTAAAGCAAGAATTTGGTCTCTTTGGCATCTTCATAACCATTTTACGTATTATACACCCCTTTCAATAGTGGCATAGACATCAGTGGACACTGAGTATCTATTATGCCCAAGTGTACTGCCCCATATTGTTTACTTATTGCCTTTCTCCTGCGGCTTTCAAAGCGGCTAATCCTCACTCCAACCCTGTAAATCCCTCCTTTTGCCAGATGGAGAAGCTGAGGCTACAGATTAAGCCATAGGATTTTAGAGGCAAAAATATGGTGCCTATTGGGAATTTCTGCTCCCTGCTTTGGAAGTGAATGCATTTAATCCTGTTAGATTGTTTATTTTCTTGAGGAGGAAAGGGTAGAGAGGAAAAAATGGTAGGCCATTCTGAATATAGGGTGATGAGGCTTCTTATCTTCTCCACCCAGTGTATGTTTGCCCTAAGCTGCTAATTTGTGGTAATTGAGGCAGCAGAGGCTACATTTGGGGTGAAGCACAGAGATGAAGAGTCCAGAACATAGCTTTAGTGTTTGCACAAGAGGAAAGTATTTCAAAAAGTCAGGTTGAGTCCTCCCCAGAGCCTCAAATCCACGTCACATGAGTACAATACAAAACAGGGAGGAGTGGAGGTGTTTGAGCACTGTCCATTTCCAGCAAGTGATTGAACATGTTAATGGATAACCGTGACAGCTGAGACATTAAATCAGTACATGCGTCCCACATCTGCTTTGGAGAGTATCCCACCAGCATTCAGTTAATGCTATGATAACTGACTGAGAGCAACATGACACAGAGTTTAAAAAAGAGAGAGAGAGAGAGACTATAAAATGGCTATTTATGGAAATTAAAGAACAAACCCTGGTAGATTCATGAAAGGAACTCTTCTGAGATCTAAATGTTAATTTTAAAAATTAATACTTTTTAACAGCTTTATGGAGATATAATTGGCATACAATAAACCACATACTATATATATATGTATACATAACATATATATTTCACAACTTGTTAAGTTTTGACATATTATATCCCTGTGAAAACATTACCACCATCAAGATAATGAACATATCCATCCTTCTCATGTCCCTTCATTTCTTCATGCCCCTTCATGGCCCTTGGACATATAATTTTATTTCTCTTACATAGATGCCTAGCAGTAGAATGGATGGGTCACAGGGTATGTGTATGTTTAACTTTTTGAGAAATTGCCAGACAGTTTTCCAAAGCGGTTTTTCTCATTGTACATCCCCACCAGCAGTGTAGAGAGTTCCAGTTGTTCCACATTCTCACCAAAATTTAGTATGGTCAGTGTTTTTAATTTTAGCAGTTCTGACAGGTGTGTAGTGCTATCTCATTGTAGTTTTGAAGCATGTCCCAAAGGACTAGTGATATGGAGCATCTTTTCATGTACTCATTTGTCATTTGTATACCTTACTTAGTGAATAGTCTGGTTAAGTCTTTTGTCCACTTTTTAATTGGGTTGTTTGTTTTCTTATTGTTGAGTTGTGAGAGTTCTTTATATATTCTGGTATATGTTCTTTATATATTTTGGATACAGGTCCTTTTTTGAGAAATTCACAAAAGGATTCTAACACTTATATGGAAAGGCCACATACCCAAAACAGCCAAACAACTTTGAAAAAAGGACAAAGCTGGAGGAACAATCAACACTACCCAATTTCAAGCGTTATTACAAAGCCACAGTAATCAAGACAGGGCAGTCATGGTGTAAAAGCAGACAAACTGACCAAAGGAACATAATTCAGAGGCCAGAAGTAGACCTATACATATACACAACCAATTGTTGACAAAGGTGCAAAGACAATCCAATGGAAAAAGGATAGTCTTTTCAACAAAGAGTGCTGGAACAATTGGATATACATATATGAAAATATTAACTTCAATCCATATCTTCAACCAAACACAAAAATAACCTCAAAATGGATCATAGACCTAAACATAAAACATAAAACCAGCACTGGCTTCAAAATTTGTGGGCCTAGTGCAAAATGAAAATGCAGGCCTCCTTGTTCAAAAATTACTCAGAATTTCAAGAGGTAACAGCACAGCATTAAACCAAGCATGGGGCCCTCCTAAGCATGGGAGTCTTGTGACTGCATAAGTTGTATGCCAGTGAAAGCAGGCCTGCTTGAAAATTATAACATTTCTCAGAGACAACCTTTGTTACTGTGGGTTATACAAAGATTTCTTAGGTAGATACAATACCAAAAGCAAAATCCATAAAAGAAACAAATTGATAAATAGAACATCATCAAAATTAAAAACTTCTGCTCTCAAAAGATTGTTAAGTGAATGAAAAGACAAACCACCAACTGGGAGATAATAATTGCCAAAAATAACAATAAATTTTAACATTGTTTGCACACATTATGTGCCAGACACTGCTTAAGAACTTTATGTAAGTTCACATATCTATTACAAACACCTAATAAAGTATTTACAATCTTTATCGTTTTGTAAAAGGATTTCACTTCATATATGAAAAGCACAGGAATTTAAGAATCTAGCTTAATGATATAAAACTAGTAAACCAAGGAGCCAAAATTGGAGCCCAGGACGTCTGACTTTTGAGCCCATGCTCTTTACGTTTCCTAAGACAAAAATGAATGATACCTCTGTCTTCTCATTTTCTGTCCTTAATTTGAGAAGTGCTTTTAAAAAAATCACCTACTTTCTATTTCAACAGACTACTTTTAAAAACTCCTCAAGTAGGCATTTTTGACGGCCACATCTGCCAAGCTACGTTCGATATATAAAGTCCCCTTTCTATAAGTCTTTTCCAAGACCAGGCAAACCAAGAGGTTATCAGTGTTTCCGGGACTGATGTGTACAATGCAAGGGTAGCACAAGTAAGTTTGTAATGCTTAGTTTCAGATAAAGCAGCCTTGAGCTTGAATTGCCACATTGCCCAATTTACTTTTTCAGAGCGAGGGACATTCCTGCTGCAGAGTACATAGTGGTTTCCTATGCTCGGAAAGAATGCATGTGCCTCCTTCAGTGACCACTTACATCTAGAGAGGGACCAAGGCATGGGAACACTTATGTTTATCTGTGCCTAAGCCCACCCACTGTTTCACTGCAGGCCATGGAGAAAGAAGTATCAAGTCCTAAAAAGGCATTTGGGCTGAATAGTACAATATGCTTGGATACCCTTGCTTCATGTAAACACAGGGTGATTGTGAATTCTAAGAGCCTGGGTGTTGCAGTTCAGCAAGGGTCTGATTAGCATCTAGAAAGCATCCCAAGAAAGGGTTGCAGATCTCTTTGTCTGGAGGAGGGGTGTACACATGACTCTGGTCACCAGGGCTTCCTAGCAATTCTCCTATGAATGTTTCATCCAGGTTCCCACGGAGGTACATTTTGGGAGTCTCTAGAACTTTCACAACAAAGGGGTTTTGGCTAGCCCGCCTTATTTTTACTAGCGTGGGTGAAGCAGTTTGATGTAAAAGGAATAGTCATGGGAAACTAAATTTCCTTTTCTACATGGTAGAAATAACGTAGCTTGTAAGGTTTCTCCCAAAGCTGGTAACTGACAGTAAACTCTGTTTTGAACTATCAGTGCTGGGAGTCTTCCGGGATTTCAGCTTTGCCATCATGTAAGTGACTATGTCTAAGAATCAAAAACACACATTGCGTAGCTCCTAGTACTCCCTGGTTTCGTGGGCCTGAAAGCACAGAATCAGATTCCTTATTTCCATTGTATAACGGTTTACATAGCACTTTGATTTTTTAATGTCTTCATGCCTGCCAACCTTCAAAAACAGAAAAACAATAACTGTTTCTGCCTATTCCGCTGGCAGCATTGGGGAATCACATTTTTCCTGGGTATTCTTGATCATGTGGCCAGGGTACATTCCTTCAAGCTTACCCCCCACAGTAACTCAGCCTTTCTGACTTTAAGCCAGTCACACGGAGCAAGTCCAGCAAAACTTGAAACTTTGGCATTTGCCATATATTTAAAACTTAAATTTTAATCAAGTTAAGATATGCAAAGTTTTGAAATGTGAGTGTGCCCTGGGCATATTAGCATAGTTAAATTTTGCCAAACAGAGAAAAATCTTAAGTTTTAAATTTTGGAGCAGCTTTTAAACTCTAGGAAAGAGAAAAATCAATCGAACAAAACATCTGTACATATATCCATTTATTATTATCATTTGTGCTGACATGACTGACTCCAATATGAGTTTATGGCCACTAGTGTTCCCTCACCCAACTTTCTATCTAAAATGACACTGTTCTTTTTGTGTGTACTTATATTAATTTAAGAATATAGAAAACTATGCCTGAATTTAGAAGAAAGCCTTCTTTTGGGTTTTATAATTCTGCTTTCCTTGGTAAGTGTTCATGCAGACCCACTACGTATGCACATAAGAAAGTGAGAATGTCGCTTGTTTCCAAACAATTATTAGAGGCAGTAATGTATAAGGATTATGGGAGAGGAGGGTTGTTGCATCTACCTGTGAAACCAGCATTAAATAGTTACTCCTCATTTCATTAGGAAAAAGGAATGTGCTCTGGGGAATTAGTAGGACAATAGTCATAAAGTACCCATGTGGCTAAACAAAATTCCTGTCTGATGCAGGTATTTCAGTTCTGGGAAGGGAGGGAGGGTTTCCTCACAGAGGGCAGACAGGAAGAGATGAGATCCCTGTTTATTTCTTTCAATGATCTACAAAAAGGAAGGCACCAATCCGTATCACATACATAAACGAAGAAAATTCTTGAGTTAATGCATCTCCTGGCTTGTCTAAAGGTGGGAGGTTTGCAGGGTGAAGGCACACAAAATTTAAGTCCCCGTTGAGAGTTTTTATGCTCATTTCTATCTGAAAGGCTCAATTTTTTCTTGAAGAGTACACATAAGGCCCAACCAAAGTTCACCGTGCAATTCTGTTTTGAACTGTGGAAGGACAGCCTTTCCATCAGAAATGTAACACAGAAACGTCCTTAATTCACACTCTTTTCTGCAGGGTGGGGCCCAAGCAGAACTCCAGAGACTGGAAGTGTGGATTTTAATACTTTGTTTCAAAAGGAGGAGACTCGGGACCTTCTCAGCATCTTATTTAAAGCGGGGTACGCTGAGTAACACGTGAAGCGGTGCATTAATGGCCTACATTGTTACAGGTATGAATTTTACATAAAACGGATTAATATTATATGTCATGGTGTAGAATTTTAAATACTCCGTGCCCATGCATTTTTAATATTTACGTGCTCTAATTGAACGCTCAAGGCAACTGCATTTCTTGAGCCCACTTTTGCATCTAGATGAGTAAAAGAAAAATCCTACGATGTTTTGTTTTATTTATATGTCCCTTCACCAAAGATCTGTATTCGGCATTCTTTTTCTCTCTCTTTTTTTTTTTTTTTGCTAAGCTTTAACGTTTTTACAAAAGAAAACGGAAAGGCTACACATTCCATTCCATCATTATGGTTTCGGCAATTGTGAAAAGGCGAATAATGAAACGGAAGGGGAAAAAATACAGAACAGAACGAACATGCCTTCTTGAACAGCGTCCTTCTTAAGGCACTGGAATCCCAGGGATGGAGTGATGGGTGGCGGAGGGTCCCTGGGCGCCGCGCTATTGGGAGTGGCAGGAGATCCTCGAGCAGGGCCCAGAGCTCCCTTAGCAGCCTAAGCCGGGGGAGAGTGAATTCCAGCCGCACATTCCCGCAGTTCTTCGCAGGAACTTCTCCCTCTCTTTTCTCCTCCCTAGGGCACTCACCAGCCTGGCCCGACTCCCACCCAGTTCCCTTTCCGACCCACGGCGTTGACGGAATGGAGTGCCCTTCCCATTGGCCCGAGCGTCATTCCCTGAGGTGGCACCGTCCGCCTGATTGGCTGGCCACTCCCGACCCCCCGCCCACCCCTCCACTCGGGTTGCCCGGCTCCCCGCCCCCCAGCACCGCCCGGAGCCCCCGCCCTCGCCACCTCCCTCGGCGCACCCGCCCGCGCGCCCAGCCCGGCTCAGCTCGGCTAGCGCGGCGACCTGGCCAACGCGCTGGCCCCGCCCTCGGGGCGCGCGGCTTATAAATGCAGCTGCGCGGCGGGCTGGGCGAGAGCGTAGAGGAGGCGCGGTTGTGAGTCGCTATCGGGAGTGGGGAAACCTCGGGCTAGGGGAGCGCGGCGGCGGCGGCGGCGGCGGCGGCGGCCGGGCCATAGTCGGAGCTCCGAAGGGAGTGACTAGGGAACCCGGTGGGCTGCTTTCTTTCCGGTGCTTTTGATTTTTCTGGCCTTTTGGTCCCGGCCGAGTGTCGCCCACTGAGCAGAGATCCCCCCGCAAAACCCGGAGCGACCCTCCCGTCAATTGTTGGGCGCGGGATCGCCAGTGCCCCGAGCGCGGACCGAGCGCGCCGGCCGCGAAGGCAAAGAGAGCGGAGCCGGCCGCGGGCGGGGGCCCGGAGCTTGCCTGCCTCCCTCGCTCGCCCCAGCAGGTCCGCTCGCGCAGGGCGTAGGGCGCGCGCGATGAAGGCGGTGAGCCCGGTGCGCCCCTCGGGCCGCAAGGCGCCGTCGGGCTGCGGCGGCGGGGAGCTGGCGCTGCGCTGCCTGGCCGAGCACGGCCACAGCCTGGGCGGCTCGGCGGCTGCGGCGGCCGCGGCGGCGGCAGCGCGCTGCAAGGCGGCCGAGGCGGCGGCCGATGAGCCGGCGCTGTGCCTGCAGTGCGATATGAACGACTGCTACAGCCGCCTGCGGAGGCTAGTGCCCACCATCCCGCCCAACAAGAAAGTCAGCAAAGTGGAGATCCTGCAGCACGTTATCGACTACATCCTGGACCTGCAGCTGGCGCTGGAGACGCACCCGGCTCTGCTGAGGCAGCCGCCACCACCGGCACCGCCGCACCACCCGGCCGGGACCTGTCCCTCCGCGCCGCCGCGAACCCCGCTCACAGCGCTCAACACCGACCCGGTGAGAGGCCGGGTGCCGGGCCGGGGTGGATGCTGCCGGAGCCCGGGAGGGCGGTGGCGGGAGGGTGGGACGCGGGCGCTCCCTTTCTTTGGGGCAGGGACGGCCGAGAATGACAGTACCCCCCTCCTTCTCCTCTGGGCGCCCGGGGCCGTCAGCAGCTGGCTCCGCGCCGCGAGTACCGGTCCGGGTGAACGCGTGGGGCGGGACTGGGGCTGTGCGCATCCTGGGCTGTCAAGTCCAGGCTGTGACCGGGTTTGGGGTGAGGGTCCCCCAGAGCGGCAGGCTGGGGTGGGGGCTTCGGTTTCCGAGAACGAATCCAGGACAGCGACGATTGCGATGTTTGCGCCTGCTAACCTTTCCCCTGGTGTTCCGTTGCTGTTCCAGGCCGGCGCTGTGAACAAGCAGGGCGACAGCATTCTGTGCCGCTGAGCCGCGCTGTCCAGGTGAGCGCGCGTTTCCCTTCTCGAGTGGCTGGTCACCAGGGACGCTGTCCCCGGAGCCTTCCGATGCCAAACACTGCAGTGTTGTTTACCCCCCAGAATTTCTGAGGGCAAACTCCTAAGGAGGCGGACCCCTCCTGTCTCTCTCCCTGCCACCCAGTTAGCAAGTGAACCCGTACTTCGCTTTAGGAACTCGGGGTTCACTCTAAATGGAGAGGGATCTGCTTACGTCCCCGCCGCCCCCGTGCCTCCCCCAGTGACCGGCAGGCTCTTCCTGCTCCCCTCCCCGCCGAGGGAGGGCACCCTCGTGGGCGTGGAAACTGCCCGATGTCCCGCGCGCAGTCTGACACCCACGGAGGAGGACGCAGACAGCGCCTGGGAGTGGGTCCCCTCTCCAAGCTTCCCCGGGGCCCGTAGCTGCCTGTTCGGCGCCTGGCCGGGCCGCGGGCTGCGGGTGTTGTCTGACCTGGTGGTTTGTTTTGGGTTGTTGATCAAGCATGTCTTGAGTTTGGTCGGTGGCGCCAGTTAGTCTGCAGCGGGAAGGTTCACACACCCCCTCTATTCATTCCTCTTCCACAGGTGTGCGGCCGCCTGAGCCCGAGCCAGGAGCGCTAGAGAGGGAGGGGGAAGAGCAGAAGTTAGAGAGAGAGCCACCGGAGGAAAGGAAAAAACATCAGCAAATCCTAGAAACGTTTCATTCGTCATTCCAAGAGAGAGGGAGAGGAAAGAAAAAACTTTCATCCTTTTTTTTTTTTTTTTTGCACGTTCATAAACATTCTACATACGTATTCTCTTTTGTCTTTTCATTTATAACCGCTGTGAATTGTACATTTCTGTGTTTTTTGGAGGTGCAGTAAAACTTTTAAGCTTAAGTGTGACAGGACTGATAAATAGAAGATCGAGTAAATCCGACTTTAGAAGCCTACTTGGTGACCAAGGAGCTCCATTTTTGTTTTGAAGCTTTACTAATATACCAGAGCATTGTAGATATTTTTTTTTGACATCTATTGTTTAAAATAGATGATTATAATGGGGCAGGGAATTTTCTTTTCCCTGCAAGAATGTTACATATTGTATAGATAACTGAGTGACATTTCAGACCATGTATATATAGAGATGTTCTATAAGTGTGAGAAAGTATACGCTTTAATAGACTACTGTAATTATAAGATATTTTTAATTAAATATTTTTTTGTAAATATTATGTGTGTGTTTTTTTAATCTATGGGAATATTTCTTTTGGAAAATTATTTTTCAGCTCAATTGCAGAGCTCTTGATATCCTGAATGTCTTTTCTTTGGCCTGGCTTCGAATTTGTTTTTGTTTTGCTCAGTGTCGTGTAGACTGGGAAGTAACAGTTATGGCTAGTGGTCCTGCATGACTGCATGAGATGTTTAATCACAAAATAAACTTGTTCTGAGTCCATTCAAATGTGTTTTCTTTAACCTGGATTGAAATCTTTGTATTTGAAGTATACATGTTGAAAATAGACTTTATCAGTTTTTAAGCACAGGGTTTGATAGTGTAATATAAAAAGACTAAGTGTTTGTTTTTCGTTTTTTAACTGAGGTCTAAATGGATTCTGAATGATTTTGCATATGGGTCGGGGAAATGCTTGGACCCTTAAAGAGTTTATGAAATCTACTGTTTCATCAAAGTGAAAAAAAGATGCTTATCATTCTTCTTTCTACACTAAGGTTTAATGTCACTAAGTTTCATGTCTGTACAGATTATTTAAATCATAGAAATGAAAAATGTTCTCTGCTTGCTACCAAAGGACAAACTCTTGGAAATGAACACTTTCTGCTTTCCTTCCTCCAAAGAATATTAATAAGCAACAGTGGGAGAAAAAAATTAAAAGGCATAATGGCAAATCCTTCAAGCAGGGATAAAAGTCGATCTTCAAATGTTAACTTAAGTAGACCAAAAATTCTGATGACCGCATCTAGATTATTTTTTTATAAAAATGATTTTCACTATAGCTATCTTAGTTAATTGCTAAACTACTGTCCAATCTCTTGTGATGTGTAACTTTTACATGTGAATATTAAAGTAGATTTATCTGTCTTGTACTGTGATTTCTGGTCTCCTTTCTTCAAAACCTTAGACTTATTTTTTAAGGCGTTCTTTTCTCTTTAAGGAATGTAATATTTTCTAGGTTAGATAGGACTATCAGGGCTTGTGAATATTATGCATTTAATGTGATCAGTACTTTACACACCAGTTAGATGGAATTTTTAGAGTGAGGGAGAATTAAGTAGGATTTAATTGGGTACTTTGTAAATAGTTAGTCAACTGTGTGTGTAACGTGGTCTGTTTGATTTTTAAAAGGAAAGGATTTGTTTCAGATTATACAAGAATAAAAGTATTATAGACCCAAGGGACTTTTTATGAGGTCAAAGTCAAACATTTGTATGAATATGAAATATCATGGTCCCTAGTAGTCAGTCGAAGTAGCAATAACTCAACAGAAATGAACGAAGTTAATGCTAGTAGGTTCAAGTAAATTGAAAGGTTTTAAAACTCCATTCTATCCCCAGCGTGCTGTCCCCTCAACTTTGACATTTTACTGATCTTAGGTATTTTTAGAATTTGATGTATTTGATGTTGAGCCTTATAAAGTCAAAGGACTCCTTGTTTCGATGGGGTTTATTTTTATTTTTGATATATTCATTCTTGTCACACATCAAGAGGAAAACACAAGAACACTGCAGGAATTCCAAATCTGAAGAATTCTAACGATTGCGTTCTTTGTTATTAAAACGGGACAATTCCTCCTTTTTACTTAGCAGTTTAGTTTCAGTCGGAAGCAAGTCACATGTGTGCTGTTGGTTGGAGTCAGGCATTTATCTGTCAGGGCGGACTGCCGACCGCTACCTAAGCCTTTAGGCTCTGTTTAAACTTATGCAGAGAGATTGCAAACCTCAAAATAAATGGATAAATATTTTTGGGTTTTGAAGATAAATATTGCTCCTTACTTAATTTTACATTTTGGGCATGAAAAACCACTAAAAGGGAAGAAAAGTGTTATAGATATTGCATTTTACAGAGTTGACATTTTTTCCTTGGCCACTTGCATAGCATTGGAGGTCTCTAAAGAAAAAAAGTTGTTTATTTTTAAAAAATTATACACAGTTGTATAAAAATACTACATTCTATTAAAATGTGGACTGTGTCCTAACCAAGCAATCAGATAACAAAAACATCTGAGTCGTTTATAGATCTAATTATTCAGATATTTGGTTTAACAGAGGAAAATAACGTGACTTCTCTCATTTAGTTTGTCTACTTGTCATTGTATAGGCACAACCAAAGAATAAGAATCGTTTAAAACTTTCAGAGGAAAAAAGAGTCTCCCATGGTGGGATGTTGTTTCTAACGTGGTTACAAAATCCTGAACATCTCAGATATCTCATGTTAAAGGAAGAAAAAAAAAGTCATTTCAAAGAACTAATATACTTTGATATTGTGTAAATCTTACTCAACTTTATTGTCAAGCTTTAACTGAATTTTTAGAACTTTTAAAAATTTTGACCCCCCCCCAAATCTATTGTAATAAATGCCTTCTATAATAATAAATCCTCACTGAGCAAAGGGTTCTGAAGTTTGTGGTTTTTAATTGACTTCTACTGAGTTATGCAATTTTTCATTATCAAGAATGGGTCTCTTGATGGATCACCTCAATTATTTACAGTGTTTCTTACCATGTGATGAAAAATGTGGCTTAAAAATGGTGATATAAACGGAAAGAAAATCTAATTTAAATGCTAGGGAAAGCTTGTCTACTCTTTGGTGTCTGCTAGGATAGGAAGCAGTAATCCTTAAAGAAGGCAGCAGGATGCTGTCCAGGGAAGCTAGACACTCCCCCCAAACATGCACACACACAAAGGTAAGTAATGCAGACAGAAAGAAATTATTTCACAGTTGTATACAGTCAACTAAAACTGGCTCTGCCTTTCGAGCTGGCGCACTTTAATTATGTATATGTTAATCAGCCCAGATAGCCCTTGGGTCTCAACAGGGCCAAACACCAAACCCTCCAGGCTTATAAGGAAGGAAAAGCATCCCTTCACTGCTTTGCGAGTCTGGGAAATTAATTCACCCACCTCAGAATTAATCCTAATAGGGCGGCCCTCAGTAGGTATTCTTCAGACCCAGATGATTTCTTTCAATTACAACCCATGACATTTTGCTAAAGTATTAATTATATTCATAAGAACCGTTGCCCAAAAGGTTTTAGGATTGTAATTTCACTTAGGGGTCTACCTTGAACACTGATACAATCGATACTTTAAAAGATAAACTCTTACAAAAGGGAACTCATTTTTTTCAAGGGAGATGAACGGCAGTCACAGGCTTTCAAATTTTCAGCAGGTTTTTAAAAGTATGTTTTGTGTTCAAGTGCCTTCTTCCTATTGATTCATATCCTAGTTTGTTCCAAAAAGTTTTGCCTAAGAGCTAAAACTCAGGTCTGAGACACATTGCCAAAGGTTTTCTATACTCACCCAAGCCAAGCAATTCGGTAGGAAGGCTCCTGAAGTTAGTTCCGTTATTCCTAAGTCTCCACAGTAAATTCACACTTGGGATACAAAAAGAGAGTGGTAAAAATTGAAGTTAATTTGAAAAACCCCTCTGAGTCCATAACAGAATAAACATATCAGTTTCTGGGGAAAAAAAGAACAAAATGTGTTACCTGTTTTCCACTGGGTAAAATGCGACCAAAGAAGAATTGAACTTGGAACGTTTAAATAAAGAGACCCAAGACGAATTTTCCATGTGAATCCACTTGTATTTGAATTTTTTTCCAATAAGAAATCTCATATCTTAGAAAGGAATTTCCTGAGAGATTACATAAGTATTGGCAAAATATGCAAATTGCTGGTGAAACAAGACACCATTATGTGTTTTAAAGTACGGTTTCTCAACTCTTTATGACAGAAGTGCATATCAGTACTTTCAGCATGCATATTAAATTCAAATTTTAAAATTTTATCTTTTATTCCAAAGTATAATTTCCAAAGAAAAGTATTGGCTCCTACAGTACTTCATTATATTTCAGAGTGAAAATTCATATATTCAGAATGTTTCTTAAATATTTACTTAGATATTTTCTTAAATTTTTAAAACATTTTCTTACATTTTTAAAGCATTTTCTTAAATATTTGTCACTTCCTTCACAAGCTTTAGCAGTCAATTGAGAGACAGTAGCCGTGTGTGTGTGTGTGTGTGTGTGTGTGTGTGTGTATGTGTCTGTGTGCAAATATTTATGTAAAAATAGTTGGCCAACATAAAGGAAAAAATCCTTCAAAAAGGAGTTTCATTCTAAAAAAATAAGTCAACTATATTAACCTTCCTCCATTTTCTCTCCACTTTAATTCCTAAGATTGGAGATTTCCATAAAGATCCACCTTCCTGTTTTTTGGACTGCTTTTAAGTCAAGCATATTATGCGTAAGCATAAAGCAGGATAGGAAATAAAGAATAGGAAGGTCAATTGTCAGGTTAATCTTATCCTAGAATTTGGTTTAGCCCTCATAAGTAATCTAAAGAAAAAAGTAAAGAAAAAAAGTGACGCACTTATATGTCAAACCTCAGAGAAAACCAAGGAAAACAGACCTTAACTTGCAGACATAAATACACCTTGCTTCAACATTAACACTTTTCGTACGTGTTGAACCTGAATCCGTGGCCATAGTTAAAGCAAAGTAGGCTCCTTAAGGGAGAAGGCTGTGCATGATTCTTCTTTGCACGTGCTATGGTGCCTAACCAGGGTCTTGTAAAATATTTGTTGATCTGAATTAAGAATGTCCCCTTAATAGAGTCTCTTCCCAGTGCCCTCAGTTACTCTTTCTTTGCCCTTGTATCTACATTAAATCACAATTGAGTTTCAGACCAGTATATCTAACTGCCTTTTGGTCCTCTGCCTCTGAAGTGCAGTGGATTTAAAACAGGATTTTATGATCTCCCCCATACATGCCACTCTTTCTGGATTCTTTATTGTCTTAGTCAGTTTGGGCTGCTATGACAAAGTACCATAGGCTGGGTGGATTAAACAACAAACATTTCTCACAGTTCTGGAGGCTGGAAGTCCAAGATCAAGGTGCTAGCTGATTGGTTCCTAGAAGTCACTGCCATTGCAGGATGAACAGAGCCATCTGCATGCTTCCTTCAGATCCCCACAGTCACACCTGGCACTTGCACTCCTCCTTAGAGCTGCACCAAGTGATGCGAAAAGAACCCAGGTCTTAGCACGGTCCTCTTCCTGGCCCATAGCCCGGACATAAGGATCCTTCAAGTGTCATTTCACCACCAGTCCTTTCTCTGCCCAACTTCTGGCTGCCTTCAAGCACAGATTCTATGCTTCAGCCAACCTAGGTCTTGTCCTGTACGTGCTAGACAGCAAAGGATGCTTATCCTTCTAGTTTTGACGGTGTATGATTAATTTCCTGAGAGTTAAGAAGAGAGCAGTCTCAGGAAGGACGTACGTGGAACAAAGAACATGGAGGTAGGGAAGGGCGGGCACCTGCCCAACCAGTCAAATCAGCTAAGTCAATTTGCCCATCTGTAGGTAAGGGCTAGCTTCTTCACATTCAAAATGGCGTGCTCTTTCATGCTCCCCTTCCTTTGCACGTGGTGTTATCCCTGCCTGGATCCCCTTACACCACCCCTCTCCCCCAGTTGAGGCTGTTGTTAAACCCTTCACCATCCTTCAAGACTCAACCATCATTTCTTCTGAAAAAATTATATGATGCCTTCCCTCCTCACCCTCAAAATAGCCACCTCCTGATGCTATATTATAATTATTTTCACATGCCCGTGTTCCCCATAGATCCCTGATCCTCTGGGATTCCAGACCACAAAGTACTAGAAGAACGTTCCTGCAACCCTCTGTGCCAGCAAAACTAGCGAATTCTTTGCAACTCAAAATTGCAGTCGAGAGATTTTCATTATCTTTAAAAACCTTTGGCTGCCTTAAACATGGAAAATAGATAAGCTGTGAGTTCTTGAGAATGAGGGAGTGTGGTTAGCCTTGGGCAAACAGAGTTGGAAGGAGAGACTGAGGAGAGAAGTACAGCAGA